AGACCATTTTAACTATTTTCATATAACTTTTTATTTGTTTTACAAATGGAATATATTTTACATATTTTTTTCATGACTCGGGAGATTCCACCTATTAGCCCATTCAGCCAGAATTTAATCAATTTCAGCAAAATAAGCTAATTCGACCAATTTTAGTATTATCAAACAGATTCTATATTAGATTGAATTCATTTTGTTATTGAATCACATTATGTATGATCCCGAAAAAATCAAATTTAAAATTAGCTAAAATGCATATTGTCCGTGCATTGCACGGGCTTGAAAACTAGTTGTAAAAATAGTACTACGCAGTGATTACCTCAAATTTTTAGATGACCATATTTGATTAATTGATTGGAAGCAACAAGTATTGCAGACATACTTCAAAGCATTTTATTCGAAATGGACTTTTTTTAGGATTCCGAATATACTAAATATTTAGTAGAAATATACGGAGTATATATATAGATAACTAGATACCACAAATGTTAAGTCTCCCATCTCCTACTAAAAAGTCAAAACTTAATTACTAAACCTACGTTTAATTTATTTAATTGACCTAAAAGTGACTCAACCCATTTCCGGATCCTTTTTGGGGGGCCAAATTTTCGTAATAGTAATATTTTTATTTTAAAAAAAATAAAAAACTGGGAGGGGCCATGGCCCCCTTACCCATTAACGTAGCTCCGTCCCTGCAAGTTTATTCATACCAAATTTCTGTTAAAACTTTAATCGGGAAGGCACTCAACAAAGTTTCATATGAAAATTGTGCTTTATATATATATATATATATATATATATATATATATATATATAGGTTCAGGTGAGAAATGCATCTAATGTGAGAAATGAGAATGAATCTCAGCCATTGGATTTATGAAGTTGCACTAAAATTGACTTTATGTTGCAGTAATATTTAAATTTTGCACATGTTGCACTAAAACTGTTTCATGTTGCACCAATATTTGACGGCGTTGCACCGAAATAGCTTCGTGTTGCACTAGACACGTGTAATACGGATTTTTCAGAAGTATTTACAGAAATGTCACCGTGCTAGATTGCATATTTCAGTGCATCATGAAGTGTCTTTTACTGCAACTTAGTCGAACCCAATGGCTGAGATTCATTCTCATTTCTCACCCAAAGGGTTCTTCTCACTTGAACCTACCCTATATAGATATAATAACAAGGTAAGAAACACGAAATTCAAGAGAGGGAAATACTATTATCCACAAAAAATTTGAAGAAATGTGATAAAAATGAAATTGATCACTAATACGGAGTATGTTAAACAAAAGCAACAAGACTAACGAAAAAAATTGGTTAAGTAACCGATCATATCACTTAGCTGTCATAGCTGTTGCAATGAATGAGTGTTTCAACTATTTAAATTATTTGAACAGTTTTAATATTCATTCATTGCAATAGCTATGATCGCTTAATAATTAATCGATTAATCCATTTTACCACTCCAATTCAATGTTAGTATCTGACTATAGGGGAGTTATAAAATATGTTAAAAGTTTCTATGTCTTCAGTGTGGGAAAATTTAAGGGAGCGATTTTACTTGTGGAGAACCTCAATTCAAACTAAATGATATTCGTATATTATTCACAAAAAGTACCAGAAGAAAGTGATATAATTGGAGTTTACCACAAAAGTAAACAATCAAATCACCCATTTGATGGTACAACTTCCTAATTGGTAAAGTAAAAAGAGTAGAAATTATTTCAAACTTTCATTAATATGTACGGAATATTTCTTCAGTTGGTTGCAACATTGATGAACTTTATACTATTTATATGTTCTACTTTGACATCATTTTATTTATTATAATATTATAAAAGGAAAACTGTCAAATAGGTCCTCATAATGTATAAGAAGTCAATTAAGCCCCCAAACTAAAATTACACTCAATTGAGCCCCTAAACCTTAAAAAAACTGTCAATTATGTAATTTACAAGGCGGCCCATGTGTCAATTTTTACCTTATCTTTTTGTTTTTTTTAATTTATTTTCGGGAAAACTGTCAAATAGGTCTTCGTACTTTAATGAAATCGTCAATTGAGTCATCGTACTATTAATTTGATTGTTTGCATCTCTACCCACGGCAAGCAGTATCTCTCCCTTCAAACGACCTTTCAAAAAACAACCATCTAACCCAATTACTTTTCTACACCCGTCAAGAAAACCTCTTTTGACTGGCCCGAAACAAATGTACATCCTTTGGAATACAGCAGGAGCTTCAGGGAAAGTTCTTACTGTTTTAATAATCAATGTAGTCCCAGGAATAGATTGCAGGCATTCCTCAGCATAATTTCTAAGATTTTTGAATTGATCTTTAAAGGCAACCTGTGTTTTTTCATGAATAATCCTTAATGCCCGGGTGACCATACTCATAGACACATTAATCTTCAATTCTGCTTTGATAATATTTTTCAGTTCAGCAGCACCAATGGAAGGTTTCTCTTCCACTTTTTCCTCAAATCTCTCAGCTATCCAACTTTGACTCACCACTCTAAGTTTAAACTTAGAATTGCACCTATGTTCTTCATTCAACACCTTCACTTGGAAACACTTCAACCTATTCTCCCAACTGGCAGTACAAGAATAAGGGCAAGTAGGTGCACACTTAACTCTAACTCTCGTCAAGTCATTCTTGACAAAATACACATTTTTTTTCTCACGAATAGCATATCTAATAATAGCATTCTTGAATTGTCGAGCATCTTCAAAAAGCATTCGAAATTCAATCAAAGGAGGTTCAGATTCAGGATTATAGGAGGACAGCCCATTGTTTCTCCTTTTAGATTGACCATCATCTGACAGGTGCTCCGAAGTGTAACTAGGTGGATTTGAAGAGTCGTACTCCACACTATCAGCTTCTTCACTCTCACTCGGGGTAGCAATATCATCTTTGTCTACTGTTATTTCTTCCACATAAGAGCCACCGTAATCTGCGGCTAAGTCTGCATCAATAAGGTCGTCATCATCATTCTCCCTCAAACATAACTTCAACACCGGCTGCTGCATTGGACTCATTATTTTGACCTCCAAAGTAACTTTCTTGCTCCTGAAGTGATACATTTGGTGAAAGAAGAGGGAGAAAGTCAACCAATTCATATTCATCCAAATCATTCTCAACAAATATATCACATTCCCCACAACTTCTAGCCAAATCTATCAACTCCAATGTTGATTCATCACTGAAGAGCTCACGTAAATTGTCCATAGTGTCACTTGGTCTTTTAAAATACAGCCTTTTAATGTTGCCATAACTTCCAGATCTTAGAAACTTCACCAAATGTGGATAACATATGCAATCTGGATCAATTTCAACACTTTCCGTTTCACCGCCCACATACATACTCTTCAAAGCACTAACAAAATTCCCTCCATGATGAATAATTAGGTGTACAGTCTCAACCATCCTGTTAATAATATATTCGTATGTATTAAGAAGCAACAAATTGTAAAGTTTCCCACAATATTAGGGTTAACTACACACAACAAAAAGACCACAATTTTTTAGAACGTACTTGGTGCAGCAGGATTGTTGAGCGGTTTTCCGTAATAGCAAGACTTTCTCCTTCGCCAGAGTATGAATGATTCTAATTGATTGGGTGTTGGGCATTCGCAGCTTCAAGCAAAGTCTCCATTGTTGAGGAGTCTTCTACGATAAACGGTAGGGAGGATAGAGGGAAACCCGGCTCTTGACTCTTAGTGGCATGTCATTAACGATTTAACAAATAGGCGATTAATTAAACCACACAAGCAGCCGCATCAGCCAAAAACGGGAGAGCCGGTTACTCGGTGGCTAATAGGCAATATTGACTCGTTTTTAAAAGTAGGAGGATTTGATTGGTCAAATTAATAATACGAGGACTCAATTGACGATTTCATTAAAGTACGAGGACCTATTTGACAATTTTCCCTTTGAAGAATTACATCTTCCTAAATAGACATACTCATACGTACGTACACCCATAGGGTATGTTTGGTTCAAGGAATGTCAGATTACCATGGGAATGTCAGATTGCTGGGTATGTTAGATTGACGGGAATGTATTCAATTTATTCCCACTTGTGTTTGGTTAACATCAAGGGAATGTCAGATTACTGGTTATATTAAATTGATGAATTACTTTTATGCCCTTTAAATAAATCTATTACAATATACATCTAAAGTGATTAAAATTAAAGAAAAAATGAATATCTTAATATTAAATAAAATCAAACCTAATTGAATTATTTTTAAGTAAAATATGTTTAATTGTAAAAAGTTGTAGATCCAATACAGAAATGAAAAAAAACTTTGTTCAAATAGTAATATAAATATATTTATTATCATCTAAAAAAATTAATATTTAAAAATGATCAAGTTAATCGTAAAAGTTGTTTTCAAAATGAAGAAAAAATGACCAACTTTGCTATTAAATTTTGAAATCCACTAATCAAAACTTAAAAAATCTATAACTCTTATAACATAAATACCTTAAAAAATTAAAATGATAAGGAAAAAAATTATGCAAATAACGAGAATAGACATTCAAATATAATCAATACTCCGTCCGTCCCACCTAAAACGTAGTACACAATTTACGATGTTCGACAGACCATGAAATTAAACTAACCGATCTCTATCAATAATAAGATTATTTTTAGTAAATAAAATTTACATATTTAGAGACTACATTAAAATATTTATAAAGTCACAATAAATCAAATTTGATAACAATTGAATACATAAAGAAATTAAATGAAAAGATATCATTAATTGAGGGTATTTTCGGAAGAAAATCAGATCACCCCGGGAATGTGAGATAACCTAAGGCATAGACGGGTTTAAGATTCCCATCCATATTACATTCCCGGGAATGTAACTTTCCCGATTTTTTTTCAAACCCGTGAACCAAACAAGGGTATCTAACATTCCGTGCATTACATTACGACCTTCATGTGAGATCACCCCAACCAAACGGACCCATAGAGTTGTGTCTTTTCAGGTGAGGCGGTGAAGCAATCAATAAAAAAAGCAATCGATCAGTTTCCACTCGTCGTAACAATCCATCAACTTTGACAAGAAAGCTCGAAACCATTCGATATCTAAAGAATACGGAGGCGGCAAATTTTTGGGCTTTACGAATCTGAAAAACATCGAGTCATGGCAAAGACGTTGTTAAGCGGCGAAGGCCACGAATTTCAGGTTTATAATTACTTTCTTTGAGATCGGTTCTTCAAAAATAAACAATAGAAAGTTAAATCTTTGTTGTTGTTTGTTGACGTGCACTTTATCGTGTGTGCACTCAAAATAAATCGATACTAACACTTATACGTAGTATAGGTGAAGTAGAGTTCGTATCCACAGGAAAAGGAATAATTTATTTTTTAACGAAAAAAGTAAATAAAGGGGGGGTTTTGGGTTGGATGATTTAATTTAATTAAACACGAAGATGAACGAGTTATATGTGATTTAATTCAAAGATAAAAAGGACTTGGTCTTGCTACTTTCCACTTGTTGATATATTTTAGTCGATCATTGTTATATCTATAACTTATCCCCTCTCGAATACTCAATCGCGGAGTATATCCAGTTCATCGAGGGTAGTTATTAACAACGACCGTTCATTAATAACCCTTACTATTAATCAAATATAGAACAACGCCGTATACCGATATAATAGTAGCATTTAACCTCTTTAACTCCTTGATGAAATCAATTGAGAGTGATAACCTCAACGCAACGGTTTCGGTTTAACCAACAAAATTAATCCCTCTTAAGTTTATTAACCACAACCGTGCATTAACAAACCGAAGTTACTTACTTGTGAAACCATCAACGATTAACCATCGGTTCGTTGATCGTTTCTAGTAGTAATCAATGTTGGAACGTTAACTAATCGTCACTTAGCAACCCCCCAACATTAATGTGGAATGAGATTAAGGAAAGAATTAATAATCAAGAGGAGAAAGTAAGAAAATAACTCACAACTTTAATAATCAACAAGCTTCAAGAGCAAAACTAAGAAATGGAAGTTTAGCTCCTCATTTGGAGACTAAACATGCTAAAAGAAATATAGAGAAATGCTATTCTAAACTGAGCTTAAGAGTATAAAGGAATTGGTGTCTAAAAGTGAAGGGAAGGGGGTGTATTTATAGGCTTTTTGGGAGTGCAGCTCGGGTACTCGATCGAGTATATACAGATACTCGATCGAGTATGTGTAGAAACTCGAATTCGATCCATACTCGACCGAATTCAGAGTATAATTTATAGCTATACCCGATCGAGTATGTCGGTGTACCCGATCGGGTATAGACATTCGATCGTGGGGAAATCTTCTTCTGCATGTTCCTTTGTTTCCGGATCCGATCCGATTTGAAATTTCAACCAGATACCCGATCGAGTATAAGAAATACTCGATCGAGTATAGACAAAAATCAGGATTTCCTTTTTTGTCTTGTGTTCTTTGCACCTTCCTTCCACTTTTGGGGTTCACCAACTATCCTTTGAGTGATAGTAGACCTGTTTTAGCTCAGAATGAACCTAATCTAAACAATTTACAAGAATTTAATAAACTAACCTATTACACCAAAAGTGTGTAATTTCCGAAATACTAAACAACCAAAACTAACTAAAAACGTAAATAAACACACGGAAATTACAAACGTATCATTTGTTTGTGTTTGCATTAAATTGAAACAACAACGAAGCTTTCTAATTAAAGAAACCTACAGTAGAACCAGTGGTTTAGAATATGGTTTATTGCTTGCTTCTCTAAACATTTTTTGGTCAGGGTGAGAGAAGGTGTCCGCCTAATTTAAGGACAAGCTGTCAAGCTGTTAATCCTGGAGCAGGTGAAGGCATGAGTGCTGCTGCTGATCTAGGTAATCAATTATAAATAGATAGATAGTATTAGTGGGTTATTTAGTACAAAATAAATAAATTTTAATCTTGTTGTGTGTGGTTGTTACTTTGAACTATCAGTGGGCACCAACTGATTCTGGTTGAAGGAGGGTGTTAATGAAGAGATATTGTTGGAGATACTAGCTAGGCTACCAAATAGTCGAAATGTGGTTCAAGCAGGGCTGGTTTGTCACCTTTGGCATTCCCTTATCTTCCAGCAGCACTTTATTCCCAGGTTCATAGGCCTGCGGGAGCAAAAGAAGATAGAGCAGCCGTATTCCATCATATTCCGCATAGTAGATAGTATTGAGTTTGAGTATGATGATGGAGATGACTCAGATGAGTATTATCAGCCCATCTGCAAACTATTTTCGGAAGAATCCGTGGTTCTCCACGGGGGAGGAAAGGAGTAGGCGGTGACATCACGTAGAAGTTATCCTCCTTCAGGCAGCAGTGGTGGCATCCAGCCACCTTCATCCAACATGGTCATAAGAGCATCTTGCGATGACTTGCTGCTGTTGTCGCAAGGCCCACGTGACTATATACCTGAGCTAAGCCCCTACTATCTTTGTAACCCAGTAACCAAACAGTGGTTCCATCTCCCCCATGTTTATTTCGTAGATTACTTGATTGGGCTTGCAGTAGTACGCATGCCGCCTGCCCTTAATAGTTGTGGCAGTTATGAATACAAGGTGGCTTTCATTCATCTTCCCTATGATTGTGGAGAAGAGGATTTTGCTGGGGACAGTTGGAGGTTTAGAATGCCAATTTATTGTTCAAAATCAAGACAATGGAGTGATGATACAATGGAGTGATAATTCATGGCATCGATATCCTATTCCTGCTACCAGTAGGACCCCTAAGCCTAAGCTTTTCATTAACTCAATTACTTGTAATGGAACTATTTATTGGTTAAATTGCGATGATGTTCCTGACTGCATCATTGCCTGTGATTTGGTGAACGAGCCATACTCTAGTGCCTCTATCAACCTTCATGAAGGCTCTATGCCTGGTGGTAGGGGTGTTGTCTCACTAGAGTTGGGCGCTGTCCCGGGGGAACGAAGATTATTCAACGTATTCCGCCTGTCGTCAGGTTACCGGCCAGCAGCAGTCTCGACATCTCGTTGTTGTTAAAGTTTGGGAGTTGAATCACTGAACTAATCCTTGGACCCTCGTTCATGACACACGCTTCAATGATAGGCCGCCGCCGTCTAATGGCATCCAATTAGAAGAAGAAAACACGTTCAAAATCCGTACGCTTGCTTTCCATCCAAACGACACAAATGTGGTCTTCTTGCCTCTTGGTGTGTGGCCGTGGTCAGGGGCGGACCCAGGAAATTCATGTTGGGGGGTTCAAAATATTTTTTGGAGGGCGAAAATTATTTTTTGAGGGGCAAAAATTATATTTCTTATATATATACACTAAAAATAAATTTTGTTGGAGGGGCGGTAACCCCTGGGTCTGTACTATGGTCCGCCCCTGACCGTGGTGTTTTCCAGTATCACATCTAATAGGGTGTGTTAGTGTGTATGAGAAAGTCGATGAGCTCCCCGCTTTTGTGCCACCAAACGATCCTCTTACGTCCTTGATAAGTCCGTATTTAGACACGCATTTGATGCGTGTTCGAGTCGGATTTTGATGATTTTCCTGGCTTTAAGGTGATGCAAGTCTCAATTTTGGCTCAAGTTGTGTTTAACAGGCGTTGGATCGAGTTTCATAGCATTTGGAGTTGATTTGAAGAAGTTAGAGTCCGGCAATCGGCGCTTGAGAGGCATTCGGGAAGGGTTTGAAGACATTCGAGAGAGATTTGGAAGATTTAGAGGCCACCGGGAGATTCACGACGAAATTCTGGTGAAGAAAGAGCATTTGGATCGACCTTGTAGGCATTCGGGAGCATTCGGAACGAGAAACGAAGAAAAACAATGAAGGAAAGAGCAGGCACGGCCGTGCCTAGGCCAGGCACGATCGTGCCTGCCATCTAAATCAACGCGGAGCCACTGGCAGCCAGACACGATCGTGTCCGGTGCAGGCACGATCGTGTCTGCAAAATTTTTACGCGTCCCTTCCGCAGGCACGGTCGCAGGCACGATCGTGCCTGGCACCGTGCCTGACCCCGTTTTGTCCTAATTCAGCTCAAATTCTCCTGTTTTCTATAAATAAGGCCTCCATACCCACTTTTGGGGTTACGAACTTTGGAGAGAGGCCTAGGGACGAGTTTATCTGCGTTTTTTACGTTGTTTAATCCAAGAACCTGGGATTCTTTGTAAGTTCAATTCTTTAATTAATGACAATTATTTCTATTCATCCCAATTCTTTTGATTCGTCAATTATGAGGCGTGAGTAGTTTAATTAGGGATTTGGGGTTGATGAAGGGGTTAATCATGATTGATGGCTAGATTCTTGTCGGTTTAATTGCATGAATGCCGTTTAATTTGTGTTTGAATAATTTAATTGATATCTCTTGTAACCTAGACTGCAGCTAGAATTACAATTGCATGTAGAATAAATTAAGAGAGATCTAATTTGTTCTAGGACACATTCACACACACTTAATCGTTCACTAAGAGATTAGTAGCGATTAAGGGGCCGTAAGCTCGCTCGTTTTGGCAATAATTTAGGATCCTGTCGCATGAGAGATCAGCCTGGTCCCCTAAATTACTGTACTCTACGCCGCGAGAGTGGTAAGAACTTAGTAATGATTAGCTAGGCTCAATTAAATTAAATTCATGTGATTAAGCCTGTTCTGCCAGAAATCTGATTGACCCTGGAATCAATTCCTGTTCCCTTCGTCGTTAATTAAGGAAAACCAAATCTTTTTATTCGCTCATTAGCATTAGTTTTATTTCAATCAATCAACCAATCTCGCACAATTGCACTTTTTTATTTTATTTATTTCTTTTTAATCGCTAAAGTTTAGTTAATCTTTATTTCCCTTTTGTCCGTCCCTGTGGAGACGATACTCGTACTTTACACCATTTTACTACATCATTTTAGGTGCGAGAAAACACACATCAGTCCTTCACTCTATTTGGCCCACCACCATGTTGCTCCCTCCGGAAGAATAATGATAATAGTAATTGTTATTAGTGTATTGACTCTCTGTTACTGTGTGCACACAGATTTGTCTTATTGTGAAAGAGTCAATATTATTGGTTTGGGAGTGTAATCTTGACCCCTACCTTTTTTATTGTCCTGCCACTTTTTTTCTTGTCCTCACTCTTTTATTTATTTGCTTTAGTTGTAACTAATGTTGAAAATATCTCTCAGTAGTAGATTTAACACTTCACTGTTTTGATAATATCACTTGATAACATTATGTATTAAACGTTATGGTTGTAAACGCCAACCTTTTGACCCCACGAGTAATTGGATAAAGCATTCATTTCTTATACGGAGTATTTAACTGTGCATTGTGGTCTAGTGAAAATTTATTTTTAGTTTGAACTGTTCAGTCCATTTTTATTCTAACTAATAGTCTAATACTATAGGTATACTATAATCGAGGGTGTATGTAGTTCTTTGCTCTGTTGCTTTTGTGAGAATTGCTTTCAAATGGACCTTGAGCGTAGTCCCAAGCTTATCTCTTGTTTTTGTCCAAAGTTAAGTGGAGTTCATCTTTTATTCTTTTGGATCCTACATCAAGAGTTGTCTATTTTATGTGATGAACTAAGGGAGTGTTTGGTTCAAGGTGATATCTTATGCATGGCGGAATCTCATGCCCGGAATGTGAGATACCTGTGTTTGGTTCGCGGGTTTGATTTTTTCTTTTGGGAATGTTACATTCCCAAAAGTGGAAAAGGTGATCACATTACCAGGCATGTCAAACCCACCAATGCCTTAGGTTATGTTAGATTCCTGATGGCTTATTAATTTTCTTCCAAAAAAAACCTATGCTTCATTAATCGAAATATCTAGATGTGGACCGAGCCCAATCCGATTCCGGGTCGGGCCCGGATGGGCTTGGCTTTTTGGGAATGAAGCCCGGGACCGGAACGGCTGTTGACCAGTACCGGTTCGGGGCGGTCTACCCGCTCGGGTAACGGGTCGGGCCGGGTACATTTTTCTAATTCATGTCTAAAAATTAATTCAAGAAGTGCTACATATAAAAACTTAAAGTATACTATGTATTTATTTGAAACCAATGTTCTAAAAGGCGCTAGGCGCTAGTCGGACGCCAGCCCAGCGCCTAGCGCCTAGGCGGCTAGGCGGGCGCCTAGTCGGGGACTAGCCGGAGACATAAAATTTGCATTTTTATCTATATTTTTGCATAAATATGATAAGTAATATTGTATTTTTGTGTGTATAAAATACATATATACCTATATATTAACAAACATGAAAGATAGACTTATCACATTTAATCATACGTAGTACGGAGTATATGATAACTAATCATTTAATTTCATTATGTTATAGATATAAATAATGATAAAATTTAGGTATATATACAAACATATATAATTTTATTTTAATTTACAACTTCATTTCTTTATATATATGACTAAAGTTAAAGTACGTTAATCATTTGAAAAATTAAAATTAAAAAGTAAAGTAGTTCAGTGAATCTAGACGGCCTAGGCGGCCTATTAGGCGCTCTAGGCGCGCAACTAGGCGCCATAGGCGGTCGACTAATTCACCTAGACGGAAAACCAATCAGTCGGAGCGCCTAGACGAAAATCGGGGCGCCCGGCCACCGCCTAGCACCTAGGCGGGGACTAGTCGGGCGCCTAGAACGATTTTTAGAACAGAGTTTGAAACATGAACTACAATTGAAAATTGAGAAAAAAAATTAAAACATGAAATACATTTTCTAATAATTGATAAGTTTAATGTGTTAAGAGACAAATATATAAAGGACATTCAAGTAATTCACCAAATATGCCATAAAAGATATCATTCAACCAAACAACTTAATGTGACATTCCTTAATCGTAACCAAACACATATAGGCTATACATTAATCACATTCCCATCTATCTAACATACCCAGTAATCTAACATTCCCATAGTTATCTGACATTCCTTGAACCAAACATACCCTAAATGTTATGTACAAACTTGTCTCAGAGGTGAATTACTAACGTTGGATACATAAACGGACTCATGCCATGGTCCGTGCGCACGAAAGGCCCCGTTTACATTTCGATCTTCAACCAGTTGATGCTCATCAGGGTGGCGATTGTTGGTTCTTTATTCTTGGATGAGAGGTTGCACTCTGGAATCAGGGCGGACCCAGAAAAACAAAGCCACATGATCCCTACTATAACGTTTTTTTTAATTAATTAATATAAAATCAATTAAACAAAGTAAAATTATAAAGAAGCATAAAACGTTTCATAATTCGTACATCATCAAAACTTTAATATAATGTAAAGCAAAAATTAAATAAAAAAAAGGAAATCATGATCGTGAGGTTGAAACTGCCATTTTTGAAGAAGAATGTTAATCTCGTGCATGCGTACCGTTCTACCGCTCACATCCTTTTTATTTGCCAAACGCACAATTTTGATTCTAATTTAATTTAATTACACGTTAGTAAACATTATAAAAAGTTAATAATTTAAAAATCCACACAAATATGAATTTAAAAAGTCAATAATTTGTTACACATACTTTGTATTAGTATAAAATTGTGGTTAAAGAAATGTATGTAAATAGTATAAAAATCATAATGTTACACATTATTGATTCACTTAACTCAACAATCAGACATGGAAGCGAGTAGCGACATATCTTACCCACGGGCATGGTTTGAAATAATGTTTTAAGGAAGATATAAGAGCTTAAAAGTGCCCTACGACTATCTAATGTCAAAGTAGGCTTGCAAAATGACAACTCAAGTTATATTGGGGTACAAACCAAACAATTACACGTAGAAACAATCGCAATATAAGTAAACTAAAAGCTAACCATTCAAAAACGAAACTGAAAAAGTTGTTTTCATTTTTTGACTGGCGATTTCAAAATTAAAATATTAGTATAAGTAATTATTATATTATATTCCGTACTACACTACATAACATCACTCCTTTTATATACGTAGGATAAAAAAGGTGAATGAAAGTTAGTTTGGTTCGACGTACTGCTAACTCCAGCCGTTTCTTTTCACTCTCATTTTCCTCCATGTCCTTCTCACATTTTAAAAACATATAAGGGATCGGAGGGCATGAGAAGATAGTTCAAGCTAAGGCAACAATGTTCGATCAAAGTTTAAAAGTGCAACAGATGACTCTTAAAGTGCATCACATTATTCACATTGGGAAAAAAATTAATAGTTTTTTATTTTTTACGTTAAGCGTGGTTTTTATTTGATCCGAAACATTGTCTTTAGACAAAAATGAGAATGAGTATGAATCTTAGCCGTTAGATTCAACTATTTTGCAGCAAAAACAATTTATATGACACTTTATATTATAATCTGTATTACAGTTGTCTAGTGCAACATGAAACTATTTTGGTGCAACATCGTCAAATAGTAGTGCAACATGTAATAACTTTAGTGCAACAATGTAAAATTTAAATCTTACTGCAACATGAAGTTATTTTTAGTGTAATATGGTAAATCTAATGATTGAGATTCATTCCCATTTCTCACTTGAAAATATGACATGTCTTTAACATTTCATGATCTCATATTCAATTCATTCTACTCTGGCTGCACTTACGTAAACTGCCAATCTGCAAATTTAGATTTGCACATTTACTCTATATGTTAATTTATAAATTTGTTTTGTTGAACGATAACTTTTGTTTGACCAAATTGTTCTCATTAGTATAACCTTTTTGTCACTGACTATTTTATAAAGTTATACCGTTTGCATATCTAATTTGGTACCGTACTTTTATATATGATTTGTGTATAAATTTCATTCTTAAAAAGCAAAATTTAATCATTTGGGACCATCCATTTTGTAAACAGAATGGATGGTCCCAAATTATTAATTTGGGAATGGGAGACGAATCAAATTATTAATTTTCCTAAAGTCACTCCGCTCACCACTTTTTCGCTCAATTCATCTCATGGGGAAAAATTAAACCAGCGAAATTTAACGGGTACGATTTCAAACGTTAGCAAAAAATTGTTACTTTACAATAGTGAATTTGGCCAAATGTATCTCTGAGAACGAACTTCCCTTGGAGG